GATGCTGCTTGGCCTGCTGTGCTCATCCAGCTCTACACCTTGTTATCACAAAGTGGTGGCAGTTGGCATCAAATCACATACAGTAACTGTGATCCATCCAAAAATCTCCCCATGTGTCTGTTTGATTGGGAACACTCCTGTGAAGTGCGTTGGGACACCTTACCCCATTAAAGGTGCATATGAATGCAGGTAGTTGCATCATATTATTGAAGCTTTACAAGGCTGTATTTTGCAAGCTCTTTTTGAGTGTGGGATTCATTGCTGCCCTGTGTCCTTTCCATATTCCTTTGCACCATGTATCCGCTGGGTGTGGAGTGTGGTTTGTTAGAGATTTACGTTCAACGCACGTGATATTAAGCTAACGTTGGGTGCTCACGTTCTGTGCTCTAATTCTACCCTGTATTCATTCTTTAGATACATCAGGACCCCAAATCAGAAGCAGAATGTCTGAGCAACATCAAAGAGTTTTTGAAAGGCTGTGGGGCGCTTCGCGTGGAGGTCAGTATGTCACTTGTTCACCACGTGTGCCAGACTGGTAAAAGAAAAATGTGGTTACTCTTTGAGTTTAATTGGCAAGTAAAAAGGGATGGCAGAGTACTGAATGTGTTCAAATCTGGAGTGGGTTGGTATAGAGAGGGACAGAGCTGGCAAAGGTTGGGTGGATTTAGGCAGGAATAGAGTGCTGGTGCAGAGAGAAGAGAAAGCCAGGGGAGTGGGAAAGAATTTTTACATCCATCCATAAAACCTATCTCTTTTATTGTGTTTTTCATTGTTAGATCTCCTTAAATGGTTCAGTGCCATATTTTGTTCAGCTACTGTGAAGCAGATTTTTTTTAATGTTTTAAAGGTGCCACATAAATATAGGTTGTTCTTTAGAAGTGGTGAATATATTGATTTGTTTTCTGACTCCAATTGTACTTGGCTGTTTGAAGCAAGAGCTGAGAAATTCATGCTGTCCTTTTATTTTGTGAATGTCAGTGAATCACAGCATTCCTAATCCTCCAATCCATCACCTCGATTTCACAGACTCTGAACTGTTGAAATGATGCCACCTTCCACAGAGGGGCCTCAGAAATGTCCACCCTTTTACTCAATCAAGGGTCCCCTGCCATCTTGGTTGACAGAGCCCATAGCTGTGTCCAACCCATTTCATGCATTTCTGCCCTCGCCTCTTTCCTTCCCTCAATAACGATATGGTCCCCTGGTCCTCACTTTTCAACCTCACCAATCTGCACCTCCAGCAGGATGCCATCACCAGACACACACTCCATTCCCTTGTTGCCATTCCAGAGGGACCGTTCTCTCCAGAACACTCTGATCCTCTCCTCCTCCACTCCCAACACTTCCAAACACCCACAAAGTACCTACTCATGCAATCGCAGAAGGTGTAACACTTTCCTTTTTATCTCCTCCCTCCTCACTATCCAAGACCTCGAACACACCTTTCAGATGAAACAGGGATTTACCTACACCTCATTCAGTCTAGTCTGCTGTATTCACTGCTCACCTTCTGGTCTCCCCTACATTGGGGAGACAAAATGCTGACTGAGTGACCACTTTGCTGAACGCCTAAGCTCTGTCTGCAAAAGTGACCTTGAGCTTCTAGTTGCCTGCCACTTCAAATCACCATTGTGTTCCCATTGCCAACACTTCTGTCGTGGGCCTGTTGCAATACTCCATGAGGTTCAAAACAAGCTGGAGGAACAACAGCTCATCTTCTGCCCAGGCACCTTACAGCTTTCAGGACTCTTGAATTTATTGAATTTAACAGTTTCAAAATGTGAACACACTCCTTCATATTTGGTAACTACCCCCATGCCATACCCAGGACCTGTTGTGTATGGGTTGCTCCCAGCACTGTCAACCCATTTTCAACCATTTTACACTTCTCATTACCACCCAACCTGGCATTAATCTCTCTTGGCTTATGACCAGAAATCTCTTAGTTTTCCTCTTTTGTTTTCTCTCTCTCTCTCTTCCCCAATCACCACCCCCATGATCTTCACGTATTCTATTCACTCCTTATCCCCATACCATCATCAGCATAAAAACCATTCTTTCTCAGCTATTGCAAATTCTGACCTGGTCCCGGGACTTGAAATGTTAACTGTTTTTCTCTCTTCAAATGCTGCCAGACCTGCTGAGTTTCTCCAGCATTTTTGGTTTTCGGAATCCAATTTTCAGCTTTCACAGATTTTTAAAAATTGAAATGTTGCTGTTGTCTTTAAGGGAAACTTTTTTGATAATCACTGTGATATGCGATGTGATTTGAGTGGATTTGTGTACTCTGAACCAGCATATTTATAGAGCACCTTTTATTTTGGAGAGAGAGAGATTTCCCATGGTGATTGAGCTACAATAGATAGTAAACTAAAGAAGGGCATTTCAGCAGGGGCTTCTAAGTGTTTTGAGTAAAAGGTGGTATTTAAAAGATGGCTTTGGTGTGAGATCCAGGTAGCTGAAATCTGTTTGAGTGGTGTGTTTTGAAGATGTGGGGTTAATGAACAAGTTGTCTGTCACTTAGTATATTTAATGGTTGGGTAGTGATTGAATGTTCAGTCTCCCAGTTGGGCTGTACTACTAACTGTTATTGGTTAATCATTTCTAATTTATTTTGGAAATATTGCCACCTTGATCCAGTGATAAAGAAACTGTTGTTTTTATTGGAACTGTGAAAGGTAAAGACAACAAGGGAAAAGCTGCTGATGGACTGTGTGGATTTGCACATTATAGACATGGTGGAAATATAAGTCAGTGTAAAATTTGTCATGGATAGATGAGGTCTGTCTGTTGTAATTGGTACCAGAGGTAGTATGGGTGAAAGATTGGGCAGACACAGCATGGTCAGGAGAAGATTTCAGGTGGAAAGTTGAAGGAATGGTTTAACACAGGGTTATTTAGACAGTGTATTTTACACGAAGGGAAACTCAGGTAGGAAACTAAGAAATTCTTGAAAAAAGGGAAAAAATGGAATTGGATTTTCCAAGCACTGTTTCTCTCACTGTCATTGTTAGTATCACCCCCAACACTGGTGGCAAACCATTACATCCTCTCATTTCACCTCATTTTCTATTTGTGGGATACTGCTCTGTACAAATTGGATGCTACGTTTGTTTCCCTGCATTTTTAACACCCGGGTGATAATTCATTGGTTACGAATTGTTTTGTGATATCCTGAGATATGCAAGACGCTCTGGAATGCAAACTATCAAAACAGAAATGGATCCAAGAGTAGACCTTAGGGTCCATGAAGCCTGTCTGCCATTCAATTCAATCATTGCTGACCTTGGATTCCCTGTCCACTTTCCTATTTGCTTCCTATATCCTTTGCTTACCTGAAAGAGCAAAAAAATGATTTTCAGCCTCAAATATATTCAATGATGGATCATCCACAGCCCTCTGGGATAGAAAATTTCAAAGATTTACAATCCTTTGAGTGAAGGAAGTTCTCTTCTCAGTTTTAAATGACCTGTTATCCTGAGATTGTACTCCCATGTTTGAGAATCCCCAGCTAAGGAAAATCTTGATGTCTATCCTGTCCTACCCCTTCAAACCTTGAATGTTTCAATGAGATTACCTCCCATTATTCTAAAGTCCAGAGAACAATTTACTCAACCTCTCATGATAGAATATCCCCCTTGTCCTACAAGACCAAACTAATGAGATTTTGCTACGTATCAGTTCAGTTAATTTTTTGGTACAGTTTTACTCCACAAAACAAAATGGTCTTAACATAAGAGATAACAAGGTGTAGAGCTGAATGAACACAGCAGGCCAAGCAGCATCAGAGGAGCAGGAAAGCTGACATTTCGGGTCTGGACCCTTCTTCAGACCCTTCTTTCTGAAGAAGGGTCCCGACCCAAAACATCAGCCTTCCTGCTCCGCTGATGCTGCTTGGCCTGCTGAGTTCATCCAGCTCTACACCTTGTTATCGCAGATTCTCCAGCATCGGCAATTCCTACTATCTCATGGTCTAAACAGTTCCTTTTGAATGTTTTTTACTTGGCAAATAGGCAGCTTTTGTCTTGATTTATTTGTACTCCCAGGAGTAGGTTGCTGAAAAGAATTAAGCAGATCTTCAAGATCGTTTTTGTGATTCATCATTCACTGGCTCCTTCTGGCAAATATGGGTAGTTTGGTGCCAATGTTTGGTGTGCTTTGAGGCAAATAACATTGTCCTGTATCTATATGTCACTTTACTCATGTTCAATCAGCTCTTCATCTTCCATAATCACAATTGCCCAAAATATGAGTACGAAGTACGTTATCATGTTTTATGAAGTTCACATTTTCCAAGTGTGTAATCAGTGCCAATTAACTTTGAAGAATGCACCTAATAGTTTGGTTGTCATGTATAAAATTACTGTATATTGATCATGTTCAAGAACCTGACCTGGACTTCCCATCTTTCTGCTTTTCTCTTTCATACTATACCGTATCCCTTAGATTAAAATTTATTTTTGATGGCCTTTTGCGGTGAGGCTCACCAGGTTTTCTATGAAGCTTCAGGCTTAATGCCCTTCTGCCAGCAGCAGGGTACATAGAAAAAGTGAAGGGACAGCAAGCCTTTTATTAACCAGCACCTATGGGACCAGGAAAGTGCCGGTTGATTAAATATTCTGGATAATTAAGAGGTATGCATAACTGCAATAAACTATGATCAAGCAAAGCTTCGGGACATCAACGTCCCTCAAAAAGACAATGTAGAAACATCAACCCACCTCCTAAAATCAATGTAAAAACACACAGTACGTAATAGAAATGCAAAGCAAGGGGAATACACGTCACTGTTATACTTTATTTGCAACATAAATATTTGGACATCGTGGTAGATTGTGGTATTTGAGGTTTATAATTTTTACCAGTTTATCAAGGGTGCTGGTTAAAACCAAGTTTTCTGAATTGTAGTCCCTGCCTATATCATATCACTAATTACTGAAAGAACTTTTTGATTTCTCCCCAAAAACAATTGCTATGGATGTAGCCCCAATCATTTGCAGTGAGTTCTTTGCATGGACTGCCAATGCCAGTGCAGATGTTAATTCACAACCTGCTTAGCTGATCGGACTTTATGAAGTCTCGATCTATTAGGTCATGTGATTTCTTTCACATATTCCATTACAAAATAGACTTTCCATGGTCATGCTCATTTTGACAATGTGTGTTTTCTCACACACTAGACTACCAACTAAATCTAGTTGCCGTGTCTCAGAAGTACAGATGAATATGTATTTCTACCTGATCCCAAGTCCATTGCTACAGCTTTGTTCCAGTATTTTGTTAATGAGAAACTTACCACGGGCTGTGATTAGCTCATTGTATATTTTTTAATCTATATCACATTTGTTGCTGGTCTCTGCTATATGTTTAGTGTGCTCATCTTCCCTTCTGCATCTATAAGCAGGATAAGAAGATGGATGAACAAACTGCCTTTTTCTTCCTTTAAAGTTCTATTTCCTGGTACGAATAATACCTGCTTAATATTTTGATTAGAAAAA